CCCCTTTCCTCTTTGTGCTGAGCATGAAACTTAGGAGGATAAACTCAGGAGAACAGGGTGAATTCCCACCAGCACACGCAGCTGCTCCTACCAGGAATTCGGATGGTAATCCTTCTGAACGGTGACCACAAGCCTGGTGGTGCCTTGCTTTATTCAATCTAGCAGAAACTGATGTTAAATTAAGTCTTAAAGTGATGGGCCTTTCAAAGCCAGGACCTTACAAAACATAACAGTCACTCACTAAATAGCTGTTGAGTCAACTGGATTGGATACCAATTTCATTTCTGTTTTAAGAGACATTACTAAAATAAAATTTCAAACTACCCCCCCTCCAAGAAAACGTTCCCGAGTAAGGAATTATCGCAGTATCATTAGTGACAGGTCCCATGTCAGAGCTACAGAAGGGGCCTTCCATTCTCCAGGCAAGGTTTGGAGCTGGAAATCCTCTGAGCAGCCTTAATTTTACTAGAAACATAACATGCCTACACGCGAACACGGCATGTTGTATCATTATTGCTCCCCCAATCCCAATTCACACACCTCCCCTGGCTAACACATGCAAGTCGATTTCTTCCGGCGGGGGGGGGGGGGGGGGGGTTACAAAGGAAAATGAGTCAAGAAATTGCTTTTGGAAACTGAGAGAGATCCTTAAAATGTGGGGTCTGGACCACACACCATTGAGACAGCAGTCAAAGGCAACAAAATCTGTACTAGTGGTGTTATAAGTAGGGCCACTCTTCCTAACTTGTAATTCCAACTGCTGAGGTAACAGGCTTCATTTCTTCTATGTCATTAACACGGTATCCTGGGAAGCTGACACATTATTAGCCCCATTTTACCTATGCCCAAATTGAGGGTCCGGGAATTTCGGAGGCTTGCCCCAACACTCGAAGGAATGGACCAAAGCCAGATTTTTCATTCTCCTTTTGAGAAACGCCCTTCAGCATGAACACGTTTTGTTGTCTAAATAGCAACTCGTACTTGCATATCCTGAGCAGGCTTCGGAGTCACTGATGCCGATGGTGATAATAACAATGAGGAGGAGGAGGACAAAGGGGACCATTTATTCTGACACACTACATTTCAAGTACCAGATTATGATTGGATGTAATTTAATCTCCAAAACGTCCCTAGAAGTTAGGGTGATAAGATTAACTGTTTTATTAATTAGGGGAAAAGGGCTCAGAGATGTTGATTACCTAGTCAAAAGTCACACATCTAAAAAAGAAAAAAAAAATAGCCAACCTCTGATTTGGACTGTGTCCTGCCTGTCTTTAGTAACTGTTAGATTTTCCTGTACAGCATATTTGGTTAGAAAGCCGAGGCTACTGTTTCCATGTCTTTCTCTCTTTACAGCTCAGACTTTCTTTCTCCTTATTTCTTGCACCGGGCATTTCCACCTGCTAGCCCCATATAATATTTCTTGGTGTGAAATTGACTAGTTCCAACACAGAGCTAACCATCTAGAACACAATGCACAAGCTGCAAAGGAGGGGGAAATGTAAGCTTCTCTCTTTCTGTCTCTGTCTCTCCCTCTCTTTCTCTCTTAGTAACTCCATTTGAGGCTCAGTACTGTCCTTCCTCTGGCTTCTTGCTGATAGCATAGACAAGGGCCTCCAAGAGAGACCCATTTATTTACTTCAATGAGCCTCCTTGTAAATGATGCAGCTTTTATACAACCCAGTCTTACCAAAGTTGGCTGTGAAAAAAACCCAGCAGAACATAGAAATGTATAGTCATGCCTCAACTGCTGGAAATGTTCATGGATCATTCTAGATCAGGATTCATTCTTTTTTGAAATAGTGTGGTTGCTCAATAAAATCAGAAAAGTTGTGTTCTCCTCTCACATCTGAAACCCACTAGCTGCGTAGCTTCAGGCACTTTACTTAATTCTACTGAACATACTTCCTCGTATATAAAATGGAGATAATGCCAGTCTACTTTCTGCTCCTACGGGGATTAAAATATACCCATTTTGGCAAGGAGTAGGTCCTCAACAAATATTGCTTTCTTTGAGGGAAATATGGACTATAACTTGACTTTATCTCCAAAATGACAGGTTATATAAACTGTGACCATTAACTCTTAGATTGTGTCTCAATCCAGGGAAAGACTCAGAGCTTATTGGTTAAGTAAGACTCTTGCACTAAGTTTACCCTTGCACTAAGCACTCCAGCCCAGCTGAGGGAACCAGCTTGGGTGGTTTACCGCCTCTAGGCCCAAAGTGGTAAGGAGAGGGAACACAGAACTTAGCTTCTATGGCCTTGAAGGAGAGAGAGACCCACTAGGGAGGGGCAAAAACCTCAGCTGAAAGAACCGGGGGATAAATACCTCAAACCTTCTCTCTTCCCTCCCTTCCATATCCTTCGAGAGTCTCCTATTAGACAAATCTAACAAGGAACCAAAAAAACAAGGCTTCCAGGGCACAGAGCAGGGTGAAGAGGGGTGAGGGGTCTAGAGGGGCACAGACACCAGAGAGCTCGCCTTGTCTGGCCCACGAGCCCAACGGCCAAGCATCTTTAACTTCTTGTAGCAGCATTTAATTCTCCTCTGGGTCTGGACTTACCACCATTCTAGAAGTCCTCCAAGTCCCGAGTATGGCAAGTGTGGGATAACTGGGGTGTGACTGTCATTTTATGCAGACTTACAGGCTAAATTGTGTTTTCAATCCTCACTCCATTTTCCTTCCTTTCTTTAATTTACTATGGCCTGCTCTCCATTTTATGGAGCTATTTTAAGCATACACAGGAGATCTTCTTGCCATACACAGGGAACAATCAATGTTCCCACTTAATAATTCATTCTTTCATTAAATGCCCTGAGTAATTAAATAAAACATTAATAAATTCCACGCTGATATTTGCTAAAGTTTTGTTTCTAGAGAGATTTACCTGTTGGAGGATATGCTGGGACCGTGATTCACTATGACGAAAAATGAAACAAGGAAAACTTTACAGCACAGAGTCACAAAGTCCTTATTTCATCCTAAGAGTTACCAAATGCCTTCTAAGATATTTTGGGGGGGGGGGAAGATATTTTGCTTCCAGTACTGAGATAGCCCTAAGAAGTTTTAAAGGACCCGAGGTCCAGTCAGTGTCTCACACTGGGTCATGGCAGGCAGAATTCGACATGGGGCTTTCCCTGGCACCAAAGCCCTGCTCTTTCTGCTATTCTCTGTCCCTTTCATCTTTCTCACACTTCTATGGGGAGGTAGGTGACATGGGAAAAATATCCCAGTAACTCAGAGTTCTCCATATCTCACTGCATGCGTACGTGTGTGTGTGTGTGTGTGTGTGTGTGTGTGTGTGTGTATGCGTGCATGCACACAAGAGAGAAAGAACCAAGTGTGGATTTCAGATGCTGCGGAAACCACCTCCGAGGAATGTTCTGAATGGATGGGAATGAGGAAGAGGAGAAAACTGGCAGAAAATAAGATCTGCTCTCACCTCATTCCCTTGAGCATGCTTCCCCAGAAGAAGTTCAGGTAGCATTTTCCCATTAGCCCAAATGTTTCACTACATTCTCCAAAGAAGCCCACCCTCGCTGAAGATGGCTGTGTCCTGGCCTTGCTATGAATCATTAGGAGGCACAAATGCTCTTGAAAGGACTTTCACATTAGTACTGGGGTCACACTCCTTTCTAATAAATTGTTCCCCTGATGACCTCCCTGTTAGCACTTTCTGATTGTTTCACATCATCCTATAATATACTTCTTTGCTTTAACATTCATTTTCCAGAAGGTGTGGATTGATGCTAAATCTCCTGCAAGTCCTCTGAATGTTAGGATAGTCTCATTGCTGAGAGAGAAAGCTCATTCCTGTACACATTCCCACTGATCCCAGACTCACACCCCAGAGTTCTCCTCTTCCCTTTGGAATAATGGTCCTATCTATTGGTCCCTCTGGGGTCTCAGGAACCCCTGACTCATGCCCCTCCCTCAGACCCACAGCAAATCAGCCATCAGGTCTTCTTGGCCGTGTGCTGTGAATGTGTTCCTCCTTTCTCCAATGATCACCATCATTTAAGCCCTAATCCTCTCTCCTCTGACACACACTCCGTGAAGGTTTCTAGAATGACCGAACAAATGACCATTTTCAGAAAGCTTCTCTTGACCACCTCTCCACTCCCTACCCATGTTCCACTGAGCCACTAGAGTTAACTTCAAAATATTTAGACTTGATCATTACCCTTGCTTAAGGTTCTTCCTAAAGTCTGCCAGTTGTCTATAAGAATATTCCAAATACTAAAAAAAAAAAAAAAAAAAAAAAGAATATTCCAAATACTTTAACCCAATACGACGGGGGCCTTAGCTTCCTTTCCAGGTGCTCCCCCCAGCCAGCTGTGCATACTTTATTCATTCATGCCTCCCTGCCTTTGCCTACAGTGTGCTTTCTCCCAGCAACACTCATCACTCTGCATCACATGCCGCCTCCCTCATTAGCGTTTATCCTGCTCTTCACCACGACGTGAGGAAGGCTGGCTCAGTCAGCTGTGGCTAGGGGAACAAAATCAACTTACGATACACGTGGCCAGTAGGAAGCACTCATGTGTGGGGGGTAGGCATAAAAGGGTGACCCATTCTTTACCAGGCCCAAGTTATCTGTGATATTTACTATGTTGCTGTAGGACCATGGAGAGGACAGGCCTATGCCCATGAGCTCGTGTGCCACTCGGGACCCAGGCATACCAGGGACCTGTCTGCCAAGTAGGAGAGGCTGAGGTGAGGACTCACTTTTCATATTGGTTAGCTAACATGCTTTCCTTGTCATCCACAATCTACAGAGACATGATCCTTTGCTCATTCTTTCTGACTTTTGGTAATGCAACCTTAAATCATTATGCATGTGCCCAAAGGAAGGTACGGGAGGACAGGGGGAACTGGTGGGCAACATCAGACAGGAGGCACCAAGAAATCGATGCCTTCTTATAAAATTGCTATCCTGTCTTCCTCCTTTCTTTACTGGAACAACCCACTAGAAAGGATGAGAGACCAGAGTAGACTGGAATAGTTCCACTGTTGTTTACCTGCAGAATGTTTTCCTCAAGTGGGATTTTGGCAGCACTCTATGAATAAGTCAGATAGAAACGCAGCTGGTGAGTGCAGAGTCCCAGAGCCTCCCCTGGCCTGTCCAAATCCCCCACCATGGTGGCCTGGGAAGCTCCCCAGGATGGAGTGCATCAGATAGGTTTGCCCACCAGAGAGGACTGACTGTCAACCGGGTCAGAAGGCCCAGTCAGGGATGGTGCAGAGCATCCCATTACAAGCTCTGGTTGAGTTTGCTGTATTAACTTTTCATCGAAGAGTTCTAACAAAACTGTTTTTCTTTTACCTTTGCAGGTCCCTTCCTTGAGACGAGAATATGGCTGCATCATTTGTGGCCTGCGTGTGTTGTGTCTGGTTCCCGTGGTTTGTTTTCTGGCTTTGAAAACGAAACCGTTCATGGCTCAGAGATGGAAAGCAGACCACGGTTTGTCAGCAAGGCCATCCGTCATGTCCCCCAGAGGGGCTGTGAACTCCCGCAGCCTTGTGCTCTGCCAGCATGCAGACCACCCAGGTGGCGGAGCTCAGAAGGCCACCAGGCAGCACTGGGCATGAGGCTCTGCTCTCAGCTGCCCTGAGGCCTCGGCCAGCTCCCAGCTGCCCCTGGGGGACCCAGGTCTGAAATAAGCCAGTGTGATGATCCCTGGAGACTACTTTCCACTTGGCGGTCCAGGTCTGCGTGAGGGGGCATCGGAGGTGGGCCCAGGGTAAACGTACAAGAAGGTCCAGAGTGAGCAGAGCTTCGCAGATCTGCAGAGCAGAGCCCGGTGAGGAAATCACTTTACTGCTCTGTTAAAAGTTGTTTGGCTATGTTTAAGCTGTACCCTTTTGTTTTTTACTGTTCTGCAGAAAGCTAGTTGTAAAATGCTCTGACAGACAGCAATACAGCAAAGAACTTCTGTTAGCAAATGTCTGCACCTGCCGGGTCGGCGGGGACAGAAGGAGGCATGCTGAGGCCTCCTCGGAAAGAAAAGTTCCTGAGGCAGCTGTCCCGGGCATGCCAGCCGCTCTCAGCCACTCTGTCAGACTCACCTGGGAACGGACTAAGAATGTGGCGGTCTGCAGGGGCCCACTCAGACCTCTGTGGAGGACAGCCAGTGATCTGCATTTATCACGAGTGTCCCAGGGGACCATTATGCAAACTTCGTTGAGAACCAGGGTACGGAGGCACGGCTGATGAGAGGACTCCGTGTCTGCGAAATGTGTTTCATGGGAGGCCAGAAAGGGGCCGTTGTCTCCAGGGAAGCAGAGGCAGCCAAGATGGCTTCCGGAGCTGACAGCAAGGCTGGAGAAGAAGATCCTGGTGGGGTTGTGTCAAGACTGAGCACACAGCTCAAGGCTCCTGATTCCATACAAGGCTGGTGCAAATATGCCACCTCAACCTGGAAAAACAGCATGAGACAGAAGAGAACTAATTGTAAATGGGCTAGGCGAGTGACAAGTTGAACTTCGAGCCTGAGGTGAAAACCTTGTTTACTCTATTGTGTTTGTTCATTTGTATACCCAGTGATGACTGAATCACACTGTAATTCTAATAAAGATGAAGCTGTATTAGAAAAAGCACGGAAGTAGGTGCTTTCTCACTTTCTCCCATTTGAACTATTGAATGTCCTATATCGTTTGGCTTAGGCGTACGCATCCAACGTGCTGTTCCATTCACCCAAGGTACCATTCACCCCAGGTGCTCAGGACTTCTCTTGCAAACGCAGGGATACCAAGCCCGGGGCTGATACTGACCCCAGAAGTGATCTGACCTTTCAGGGCTTCCCAGAACATGACATTCCAGAAGTAATCCCAGCCCTCCAGTCTCCCTCCGACTGATCTCTGCCCAAAAAAGCCCTCACACCAGGCCCACGCTCCAGGGACTGGCTGGGTTACCAGTTGTCCCAGACCATTTGGCGCTTCGTCAGCTCCCACACTGGACAGTGACTCCTGAGTCAGATTTCCCAACTTCATGACTTCAGCATGTGTGGCCAAAGGGACTGGGCAGTCGTGCTCTCCACAACATCTGGCATGCTCTGTCTCTTGGGTTTCATCTTGCAAATTTTCTAGGGAAAAAAAATCCTAATTATCTCATTTCTTTCCCACTGGGTACCATGGTAAGTTTCAGTAGGAGGAGGGGATGCTGGGGGAGGGGAGGGGAAGAAAGCTTTCCCTTCTTCCTGTGCATGATCTGTCTTTGAAATCCAGTGATAAAGATGTATGTGGGAGAGAGGAGGGCTTTTGGGTGGAGGATGCATTCCAAGACCTACTGGCCCGAGCAGTCGGCCAGTCATATGTTACCCGCAGATGATTTATACGAATACAATCAGTATTCCCCGGGCTGGAGGGGTGACCATCACTCGCTGCGGCTAAATCTCCTTAGAAAAACAAAGGAGAAGAACAAATGGCACTATTGCTGGAGGAGAAAAAAGAGGGTTTAGAGAGCAGGTAAATGATGAAATGGGGATTAAAAAAAGTAATCGCCAGAGGGAAGAACCAGGAGACAATTCTCCACCTCGTGAGAATTAGTTTTTCTATTTTCCTGATCATCCCTCTTACTTTTAAAAGGAAAGATATTTTTCTTCATTGAATTAATATCTGAGAAGTGCTTTGCTGCATCAGACATTTTGAGAACTGTTGATTTAGGAGTCTCTCTCCTTATGTTGGGATATACAACTCCTAGCCAATTTTTTAAATTCATTTACACTTGGTAAAGGCTCAGTCAGTAACTGGAAAAACAGAATGAATTTTTTTTTTTTTTAATTACCTTCACTGGTGAGGGAAGTTCTTGCCTGGGACAAAAGGTAAGTTAAAGTGGGGTCATCATTGGCTTCCTTCTCTCTTCATTTCTTATTTCCCTCCTTTTTCCTAAGAGAGTCATTTTTAAAGAAGATAAAGACCACCAAGTTACAAGCAGCGCTCCCACTCACATTTGAGATCATCATGGAGCCTTGGTCTCACTCATCCTTGCACAGTGTTTCGCACATAGTGAAGACCAAAAAAGTGTCTTACATGGATACAGACAATGTCCCTGGTAGTCAGCTGATAACTCAGCATCAACGCCACTTCTGCTACATTGTCCTCTGCATCACAGCGGAGGAGCCTGGGAACACATTTCTCAGAAACCTTCCCCTGTATGTCTGGACATTAGAATCTGCCCCTCAGAGGCATTGCCTAAAGTCTGGAAGCCAGAGCATTCCCTCGCGAGTTCCAGGCAGATGCATGGTCAGTTAGCAGATGTGGGGGTTTCCAGGAAAGCTCTAGAAAACCACCTGCTCCAGAGCTGTAAGCCAGTGGAATTCCTGGACTTGAAATAGTGACTTCAGGACAAGCGTTTAAGAATTACCCACCCCATGACTGCAGGGAGCCAAGATCTACACCGGTAGTTTCCCTGACCTTCCAAGAGTTTTGTAAGCCTCTAGTTCTCTGTATTAACACAATTACTGCTTATAATACCTAGAATTGCCACTATTTCCCTGACCAAACTCTGAAAAATGCAGCAAGACGTAGGAATGGAACTAGATCACTTAGGGCGGAAGTGTAGATAAAGAGGATGAGAAAACACGGAAGCTACCTCCTGCCTCCCCCTGCCTGTCACGACCCTCCAGTTCCATGGGGCCACTCCCAGTCCAGGCTGGGTGGCTGGTGTAGACCACCTCCCATGCTCCTCAGAGTCAAATAAAAACAGCACCCTGGACTACAAGATACTCTTTACCTAATTTATTTTTTTTTTAATATTTTATTTATTTATTTGACAGAGAGAAATCACAAGTAGGCAAAGAGGCAGACAGAGAGAGAGAGAGGAGAAAGCAGGCTCCCTGCCAAGCAGAGAGCCCGATGCGGGACTCGATCCCAGGACCCTGAGATCATGACCCGAGCCGAAGGCAGAGGCTTATTAACCCACTGAGCCACCCAGGCGCCCCTCTTTACCTAATTTAAAGCAACAGCCCTTACTTTAAGTATCCTACTTTACAGATTTCAAACATTAATAGCACAACTTCTGGAATAAATTGATTCAGGGTTAAAAGGAACTACCTATGTCCAAAATTCACTCAATGGAATATCCTGTACAAACAGAGTCACTCAAGGAGAAAAACAATGTTTGGGTCTCTTTAGTCTATCATTAACCTCAGCAAAATCGACCGCTCTCGAATACAGTCCTTGTACACACACACAAAATGGTGAGATCACTAAAGGGAGGGGCTGAAAACTGCCAGCATATACAGATGCTCAAAATTTTGTTAACCAAATGAGTTTTCAAAATCACAGAGAGAATTCCAGGAGATAGGGTTATCAGGACAAAATAATCTCTTACATGCAGAAACAGCATTGAAACGTTTTAACTCTTCCATGGAGGAGTTAACAGCACCAAAAGAGCCTTCCAACACCTGAAGCCTCCTTGTTTACAGAATATGAATTTCTGGATCTCAAAGAAAGAAAGGAATGTGAAGCTGTGTCTTTCTAGAACCACTCCCACGCTCACCGTAAGAAATATTTGACAGCATAGAAACAATTTAACAGGCATGCCAGTCACAGCACCCAAATAAACAGTTCCATTCTAACAAAGAGAGTTATTTAATAACTCCACAAAATACCATTAAAACATCAGTGTCAATAACAACACGGACAATATTTGGGGATTACCTTAGAGTACTGTTTCAAACTTTGTTTCTTCCTACCGCAGAACTTGGAAGGTCCAAGTTTGAGCCCCTGAACTGGTGGCTTTGTAACTTGCTTTGTAACTGGGAATGACCTTGGGAAAAATCACTTTGCTCCCTTCAGCTGGCTTTCTTCAGCTATAAAACAGGAATAATGCCATGTACTCCCCCCAACCACTAGGATTATTGTGAGGATAAAATGATAAGAATGTGAAAATGTCTTAGAAAATACAAATATTTTGGGGTGCCTGGGTGGCTCAGTCAGTTGAGGGACTGACTCTTGATTTCAGCTCAGGTCATGATCTCAGGGTCATGAGATCAAGTCCCTTTTCAGGCTCAGTGCAGAGTCTGCTTAAGATTTTCTCTCTCTCTCTCTCTCTCTCTCTCTCAAATAAATAAATAAGTAAAACCTGTTTCTAAAAAGAAGACAGGAATATCTTCAGAGTAGAAACAATTACTAAAATCTTTCATTTCTGATTATGGTAACCCTATCTAATGGCTACCACTCTTTTAACGGCAAAATAAAAACCCTTGATAACCTATTCCCATGGCATGGATGTGGATAGTGACTTTATTCCACTGACTTACAAAGAGTAAGTCTGCAACCACACAACGTGGCCACCACACATGCATACTTACAAATGGGAAAGCCCATAGCACAGTTGGTATGGCAACAGCTGGCTGTGAGTATGAGATTGGAGTGGACCATGTCCTCACTAATAAATGTCAGCTTGATTTGAATTACTTGCTAAAGCACAGCTTAGACAAAGCCAGAAAGGAAAACCAAAGCTTTTTTGATAAAATGGAATCCCAGAGCATAAATAAAAGATTCCACCTGAGAAGAATGATTTATTATCTCTCACTCAAGAAAAGGATGCACAGTCCATTCTATGTGACCACATCTCTTAAGCTGTTTGCTACTGGTTTATAAAAAGCTCATGAATGTGTGTACATCAGCACACAGACACACACACACACACACACACACACACACACACACACACCCCACACAGACTTGTAAGCTCAACTAGAAGAAAAACTGGAGTTATACAATGGTTATTTGAAATGAAACTATGAAAGCTTATTCTTTTCAAGAATTTACACCTCTCTGCCCTAAAGAAAACGCAAATTACCCCAAGTCCAGGTCAGAAACACAAAAGAAAGTTTACATTGGCTAAAGAGAACTTGGGATTCAGAGCACCAGAGGTTTACCAGTCCTTTGGCATTAAAGTCAAGGCTGTCACAAAAGCAAAAAGCCTGAATGTCTAAAGCTTACAAATGCATCGTACTAAGCATGAAGATGGGTGTAAATTTTTGCATTGAACTAGTTTGGACCATATATAATTCACTTTCTTATAAGCTGTTTGATTAGAAATGCTGGAGATAATCATTTTACATTAAACCCTTCATCCTCCAAGTTCTCCAAGCTTCCAGAGATATGACATACTGTGAGGAATATTTACATTTCTGTGAGGAAGACACCAAATAACTTTCCTATGAGCAGCCATCTAGAAAAGAAAGGCCGCAATATATTTTTCCCTTTTTTTTTCAGTCATATATGAACTAAATGTCTCCTTTTTCCAACATAATTTAGGCAGTGATCCAAATCAACATCAGATTTTTGAGGGATTTTTTTTAAGATTCTTATAGTTATGTATCACTGTTAAGATGTGCCCAGCTCACCATATGATTACCACTATTCTGTAAATAAGATGGATGGAACTATTGGGATAAAATAGTAGATCAGTGGAGAAGTCATTTGAGGCCCAGTGAGCAACTCTGTCTTCCACTTAAAAAAACTAATCAATAAAAAGCCAATATTTCAGTTGTATTATGCAAACATAGCTGACAATTCACCACTTAAAACCCCAACTGTCCTCCGTGCAAGCCTAGCTCGGGAACTCCACTCTACCGACAAGAACACAGATTCCTATTTTCTTAAGGGTCTGTATCAGTTAGAATGTTTGACTATCAGAGGTATAAACAATGGAGAAAATGGGAAGGCTAGGCCCATCCTGACCCAGGTTCTGTTGCTCTGAAATTCTCTCATTTGGCCCTCTGCCTGTGTTGGCTTTGTCTTCAATCTGGTTTTCTTCATGACTGCAGCTTGGCTGTCTACAGCATTAAGGCTATATTTCCCTCATTCATGTTCACCAGGCAAGAGACAAAAGCTCTCTCTTAACTGTGAAATAAAAATAATTCCCTTCAGTCTAATTTGGCCACCATAAGTCCCATGGCCAACCCTGGATCAAGAGTTGCCAGGGGACCATCGAATGTGAGTTTTCATAAGCCCTGGTTCCAAAGTACTGACCAGCAAAGGAGATGTGCTTGTTATCTCTGGCTTGGACTGAGACTCATCCCTGAAACCAAGGACTGAATGAACCTCCCTTGATTTATTGGGCCTCATT